AGTGAATTTTATAGTGATACATTATGATATGATATGTGATGATTCGTGATATGATAGCTTACATGATATCAACAAGACCTGACTTTTCCGGATGGAAAACGCGCCTCCCTGGCCATGCTCCACACTTTGGGCCGCCGTAAGCGAAGTCATTGAACTTCGTGACACGGCCCGGCGCCACAGATAGATTTCCATGGTGGGACCCCCTGGTGAATGGTAGCTGGGGTGAGTTACATCACACTATAAGTTGCTTTTGTTCACTAGTCTATCTAGATATATCTAGATATAACTAGATATAACTAGGGTTTAGGATGGATATATCATGATATATCGAACTAAAGATGGCTAGATATGGCTATATAGTTCCTTTGGAACTTTGGGGGGCCCACTTGTGTGGTCAGCGGAAAGCAGTTGGATCCAACACCCGTCGAAGTTAGCGGCTGGTACTGGTAGCGACTCCAACGTTTGGAAAGTTCAGAAGCTGTCTGGATTTGCCAATGAAACATCCACATAATATTCTGAACTTCTGGCTTTCCGGCGAAACCACAAGAATCCCTGCAAACAGCCTGAGCATGATACAATTGATGCAATTCCCGTCAATCTCCATCAATCACCCTAGGGTAAACCCACCCTTTGTAGATCATTTTTCTGGAGTTTCCCCATGTTTTCCACATCGCCGGTACCTGACCGGCCCTTTCTTTTTATAATTGGCCTTCCGGCAGAAGAGTGGTTGGCTGATTGGAAAACAGATGAACACGTTTGGTGAGAACGGAAAGGGAAAAAAACAAAAAAACCTCTGGTAATCTGCTAGGGAAGCTACGGAAGCGAGATTCTAGCCCACAGATATTTAGATTTTAAAGTTCGTAAACAGACGTTCGTGTTACACAACGTTGCTCGTTGAGCTAGCCCGACCCAGCTAGCCAGTTTAACGGGGAATCTCAGCGGGAATCTGCAGGAAACCGCTGGTGTTTTTACTCCCAAGCCCATATGCTCCATGTATGGTATATTTACCTACATGACTGGGTGATTTTGTTCGGGCAAATGTCGGTAAATATACCAGCACCATGGAGCATATGGGAAGCAAAAGGGATTTCCTGCAGATTTTCCCTCAAACGAATATTGGGAAATGCGCGACACTTGGAAAGACATAGCCAACATCTCTGTTCCGTTTGGAAAAGTTAAGACAAACTTACTGGGAGATCCAATTATGCCATAAGCATCCATAAGCAATATATATATATATAGATCTCAACAGCCTCCTAATCCCTTTAAGCTCGTCATCAAGAACCCATTTCCATGAAATGACACAAACTCCACGGGTGTGCAAGATTCAGCTCTCGAATAAACACAAAAAGCGAATGCAAACAAGCATTCCATCATTTAAAAATGTACCATTTCGGTCAGCGTCTCGGTCACGACATTTTTTCGTGGCAGCTCAAAAAGCATGTCGCTGAATCAACTGCATTCCATTGGTGCCCACTTGTGGTGTTTTGTGCGAAAGATCTAGCTACTGGTCACATCGCTATCGTCGCTGGGTATCCCTGGGTATCTCCCATTTGAAGAACCATTGGTCACAGGTGTCCACAACGGGGCGTCTCCAAACTGATCCTTTTGGGAACCCACCCAAAAACCATGCTTGGCGCACTAATTTCTTTAGCAAAGTTGGCGAAAAGTTCACGAGACTCAGTGGACTTTACGCCATGGCTAAAATATGGCTGTTATATGGCCATTATTTGGCTATTGCATTGTATGAAACACAATGAAAAATCGAATGCCTATGTATAGCTAGATGATGGGTAACAAACTAATAGTCACATCATGCAAATGTCAACACCACCTTCAAACTGTTTTTTCCCTGAAAAGGCGCCACTCTCAACACCTGGATCGATGCCTTCAGTGAAAGCTGCCTGCTGTGGCTGTGCAAAAACATGTCCGGTGCCAAGTTGTACCATGAAAGATCATGAAAGCAAGGTAGGTTGGGAACAGTTTACCCAAGAAATTCATGTTTGAAACCACCAACCAGAATAGGACTAGGATTGACGCTAGATATCTCCAACTGTAGTTCGTAGGCTTTTGAAACCAAGAAACATAACCGGGGGGGTGAGTCTCTGGTGTCGATGCTGAGCAGCAAATCATCCCGCCGTTTGAGGTGCCATGATTTTCGATCCAGAAACCAGTATAAAACCACCTGTTTGGCTAAACTGAAATAGGAATAAATATGATATGTTTTTTTTGGGGGTTGATATGTCCGTGGCAAAAGGTTTTTAAGTATCAAAGTACTCTTCACCAATTGGTTTCCCCATGCTCACATTCCATATCTTGATGGTTGATTGCTCGCATCGCAAGTTTCTGGAAAAAACTGGAACATATCTTGTAAGATCCTGGGTGTCAAAAGCGTCCTCGCCGTGGACTTTGGCCGCCGACGTTGGCTGCAGCCGCCACGACTGAGCTAGAAAATCTAGCCATGACTGGGAGGTACCATCAATTGATTTATGATGACTTGTGAAGATCATTAGGCATGATACCACCGCTATTGACTATAACATTTAAGGGCATGCAAGGGAACATCGACAAGAAATCATGGTCTTTGCTGTCAAATATAGATAACCCTTTAACCCATCTACATCTGGCTATTGAAGGTACCATCAAATGAATCTCTGATGTCACTGGGTCACCTTTTCTCAGATGTTTCAGTCGTCATCCTATGTTCACAAAGGGGGGGAGAAGAAGAATGAAACAACCTGGCATACCATCTGGTTATTTAACATAGCCATGGAAAGATCCACCATTTTTAAGTTCGGTAAACCATCTATTTCTATGGGCCATTTATACCATGGCTATGTTAAATTACCAGAGGGTAATATCAATTTCATGATTTATCTGAGTATTTAGGGTAGAAATACCGCAGAAATATGCGGAAATACCTGTTTGATCCTGTGAAAAACCTGTCTTGCCATTCCCATATGCTCCATGATGCTGGTATATAAAAACCTACATGACTGGGTCATTTATGGGGTAAATGTTGGGATTCATATTCCAGCACCATGGAGCATTTGTTATATTTGTTTTTTTGGTTACATCATCAATTTCACTGTGAACATCTAACTGAACTACAGTCATTGACTATCCTGAAATGTGCCGTTCGACTATTTCGGCCATTTGGGGATGATTCCCCCATACATTCACCATCGTTCCAGTGACGCCACGACGTGAGGTCATGATCAATTTCATCCAGATTTTTTGCAAAAAAAAAGATAAGAAAACGCATAAATTCCCATCACTCTCCCATAAATGATCTCATAAATCCATGGGTTATGATGGAGTATGACCCATGGGATCCATGTATGCTATGCTATATGGTAACATTGGGGGTATATTGATGGTAAATGTTACCATATATATATACCATACATGGATCCTATGGGTGATGGATGATGATGGGTGATGGATTATTGGCCAACTCAGATGGGCAGCCGAAAAAAACGCATCTTCAGTACCTCCACGGGAACGTGTCGTTCAAGGAGCGTTTTGTATTCGCGAACGATCCAGGGGAGGTCTCTCAGCACACGTGACCTGGGAAGCTGGGGTTGTTGCGGTGCGAGGTGTCATTGACGGGAAAACGATGGGGAAACTATGGCGATTGTGTTTCTTTTTTGGTGTTATTTTCTAAAGATGTTGAGTACCCTCTGGTTCCATCTGGTTATTTAACGTAGCGAACTGGGAAATCACCATTTTTAAGTTCGGTACATCATCATAAATCTGCTGTTTCTATGGGCCAAAAATCCACAGCCAACCCGTTAAATCACCGGCGAATCCTTCGATCCCAGGATTTCATGGGCTGGTTTCGCTCCCAACTTGGGACCTGTTGCCGCCTGCAACAGTTGGAAACGAGTGGGTCGGATGACGCATTAAGTAAATAATATAGGATGACCAATGACCCTCTGGTACCCTCTGGTGAACTAACATAGCAATGGAAAATGGCCATTTATAGTGGATTTTCCCATTAAAAATGGTGATTTTCCATTGCTATGTAAACGTTCACCAGAGGGTAATTGCAAATAGCTAGTTGAACATCACAATTTTTAGGTAAATCAACTATAAATGGAACATTTTAACCATAGCTACGTTAAATTACCTGCAGGGTAATTATCATGAAATAATCCATCGAGCAACTATCAGGCGCCTGATTTTCGGCCGAGATCATCTCCAAGTTTCATGTCAGCAACGTATTTGAAGGTTTCCTAAAATGGTGGTACTCCAAAACCCTAGGTTTCAATACTATAGTCTATAGATGTCTATAGTACTATAGTCTATAGTCTAATTTTGGATGATTTGGGTACCACAATTTTAGGAACACCCCATTTTAGGATGTACGAATGTGATAATAATGGCCCTTCAGAACGGAGATTTCTTCGCCGAGCGGAACGGAACTCTGGAACTCGGAAGAATCACTTGGGGATCTGACATGAGCCATATGCTCTATGGTGCTGGCATATTTACCTACATGACTGGGTGATTTTGTTCGGGCAAATGTATGGTATATTTACTTACATGACTGGGTGATTTTGGACAAGGGCAAATGTTGGGATTCATATTCCAGCACCATTGCCATGCTTCGCATATGGGTGATTGAAACGAGAAAAGTGGGCCTCAACGGGATTGATACATGGCAAACTTAAATCAATAGCCACCCAATGGTCACTAAATTCAGGGTGAAGAGTTGGATGATTCATACTTCTATTCAGAAACTTAACATCAATTCATACCCTCTGGTTATGACTAACAACATAGCCATGGGATAGATGGCCCATAGAAATAGATGGTTTACCGAACTTAAAACTGGTGGATCTTTCCATGGCAAACTGTTAAACAGCCACATGGTAGTCATCAATATAGTCATCAATCATCTGGAAATATCTATCTATACATCTCTGGTCCAGGTATTTTCACCCGCCACCCAGCGGGACTGGATGGAACTGGGCTCCGTGGCGACTTGAGAGGCCTCATGGCCTCGTCTGTGCAACCGCCTGATTGATGTACTGGTGCAACGCCACCTGCGCGCGGAACATCAAAGCTGGCTAGATGGGAAAGCCCTCTGGACTCCCAACATGTGTTTTTGCTTCGGAAAAAAACTACCATCTGGTTATTTAACATAGCCATGGGAAATGACCCATTTATAGATGGTTTACCTATTAAAAATTGTTATTTTCCATGGCTATGTTACAGTAAATAACCAGATGGTACACAAAAGCTCAATTTTTAGAAGGATGCCAAACATATTCCAGCATTTATCAATCAACATTCTCAAGAAATCATGATAATTTATAACTTATAGCATCTTATAGCGCATCATGGCCCATCAATGAAACTGATGCGGATGAAAAAAATGAAAAAGATATCCTCCCCCAAACAAAATGACACCGACACCCTGGAATGAAATGGAATGAACAGAGGCAAAGCTGTTTTTTTGACACATTTCAGAAAGAGTTCAATCATGTTATTATAAGCCTTCATTCATTGGCAACCAACCACCATGAGGTCACACTCCAAAAATCCAATCCAAAGAGTGAAAATGAAAATGAGGGTTTACTAAGTTCACTTACTTTTTTAATGCCCCACGAAGAGTACATAAACATACCCTCTGGTACATTAACATAGACCCTGGCAAATAGGGGTTGGAAGACTAGTTTCCATTAAAAATTGGTGGTTTTCAGGGTCTATGTTAATTTACCAGGGGGTATGTTCGTATATGTTTTTCAAAATCGAGAGTTGAACCTAACTTGAATCCCCCGCAGCGCAGGGTGAGAAAAGTGGCCCTTGCACAGTGTCCCCGACCACACGACGTCACGCACGTTTGTGGCCCGGGCCTTCGCAGCTGTGAGGCCTTTTCCCTGACAAAAACCCGCCCCAAGAGAACGAAAATTGAGAGGAAATATGTCCTCCGGTAAACTACCATGACTATGGAAAATCACGATTCTTAAAGGGTAAATCCACTATTTCGACTGGGCCATTTTCAATAGCTTTTTGTATGTTTACCGGAGGGTTAAATGGAGGTTTCCTATGGATGGTTCATGTGGGGACTCCAAGTTCTATTTTTGTTTCATCACCGGGAGATCAGCCAAGCTGAAGGCGAGCTGTTTGTTGGTTTATAAAAATTATAACCTCAATATAACTATAGTCTATATAAGTCTATATATATATATATAGTCTACAGTTATATCCCCCCAACAGTTATTGGAAGTATAGCGGCACCAACTTAGCTGTATCATCGTTATTGCTCCTGGGACGCCTTGCCAAAGGCGTGAAACGCTGCGTTTCATGTTGGATTCTGGAGAGGACAAAAAAATGCACACGATCACAAACAAAGATAAATCTAGTTACCCTATGGTAATTTAACATAGCTATGGAACAATTGCACTTGATAGTGAGTTGTCCCATTAAAAATTGTGATTTTCCATAGTTATGTTAGTTTACCAGAGGGTACATGAGTGCATTTCAAATCAAGAATTCCAAAACATCAACATGGCCAATCCTAGATGATCTTGATCTGTTTTAGCTGGTTGAGAATTGTGTATCCGTATCCGCATTATTCGGCGAGTCGGAGTCACAGCATACCAAAGTCCATCCAAAATGGACTGGGTCATCATCAATTTGAACCTTAGATTTACGTGTATATATTATATATATATATGGATAAGGAATATATATATATATATATATCATCAATTTGAACCTTAAATTTACCTACGTTCTGTTCTCTAATTATTCATTTCCGAAAAACAAAGTAAAGGAATAAGATGGAATAAGGATTCACATGGATTATCATCGATATGTTCTCTCTGTTATTCAGGTCCAGAAATAAGATATAAAATTCCGGTTAGGCCCGAGGGGTTGGGAGCCCCGTTCTGTAAGTACAGAATGGTGTGCCCAAGGTGCACTTCTTAGAATTTGGCAGAACGGGGATGATATAAACATTTACCCTCTCGTAAGCTAATATAGCTATTGAACATGGCCATTTATAGGGGATTTACACATTAAAAATAGTGATTTTCCAGTTCGCTATGTTAGTTTACCAGGGGGTATCCAACATGGATCCAGATTCACCGTACCGGATAGCACTGAAATCACCGACTCCTGGGGAAGCTGTGACCCTTCTGCCTGGCTTCCTTCCAAACGTGTGGAGCCCGTATGGTGCGACCCCTCATCGCTGCCTACAGCGAAAAAACCCATGGCAAAGGAAGTTCTTCACCGCGTCTTCTGAAAAAAAAAACGGACTATTTCAGACATGGATGTCCATGGATTCTATCAACATCCATCAACATTTTCGAAAAAAACGTCCATGGATTCTGGATTCTACCCTCTTGTCATTTGTTACAGATTGCTATTGAAATTGGCCATAGGAATAGTTGATTGATGTTGATTTAGCCATTAAAAATATAAAAAAAATCGTGGATTTATCTTGATTTAGCCATTAAAAATATGAAAAAATGGTGGATTTATGTTGATTTAGCCATTAAATTTTTAAAAATGGTGGATTTCTGTCGATTTAGCCATTAAAAATTGTGATTTTCTATTTAACAGCCATTATATAAACATATGGAAAAATGGCTGATCTTCCATAGCGTTTTCATCCTTTTGGGCCAATATCCTCCGAGGTCCAGACCATGACTAAAGCTGTCCAAACTCTGGGCATCATCTTCGATCCCGTCCTGGCCAATTAACATACCCATATGCTCCATGTTTAGTATATTTACCTACATCTGGGTCATTTATGGGGTAAATGTTGGTAACTATTCCATACATGGAGCATATGGGATAGACCCTGGCAGTCGGGCTTGGAAGATTAGTACTATCAATGGATCCATGGTGCTGGTATATATACTAACATTGGGGGTATATTGATGATAAATGTTACGATATATAGCATACATGGATCCTATGGGGTATAGATTAGTATTAGAAAACCGTGATTTAATGGAAAATTGTTGAGTCAATGGATTGGTTTTGTCGGGAAAATCTTCACCGGAAACCATAGATTTCCCATGAAGATCATGGGGCTTTCCGGTTAAAATATTCCCTTAAACCAATCCATTGACTCTAGAAAACCGTGATTTTTCAGGGTCTATGAGAAATTTACCAGTAAAGATTACTAGTACAAGACAAGTAAAGATTATTTTTCAGGGTCTATGTTCATTTACCAGAGGGTAAGGGGTTTTATTGTCTTTTGAGAAATCTCTGGTCGAAAGTCTGAATGAAATCCATATACCCTCTGGTGAACTAACATAGCAATGGGAAATCACAATTTTTCATGGGAAATTCACTATAAATGGCCATTTTCCATTGCTATGTTAGTTCACCAGAGGGTAAACTTTGCCATAAAACGGTGCTTTGGACTAACGATTTCTTGGGCTCAGAGTTTCATCCAAAAAATGCCTTTGTGACATGACCGGGTCATGTCTTTACATTTTTTTTAAACATAGCCTCTGGTAAACTAACATAGCTATAGAAAATCACCAGTTATAATAGGTAAATCAACTATAAATGAACATTTTCAATATCTATGTTAGTTTACCAGAGGGTAGCTGGAGAACGACCAGTTATATAGTTGGTTGCTGGAAAATACCACTGGGATAACCATGGGTCGTTTCATGAGTTTGTTGCTTTGATTGGCCGGAGTGGATCTAAAGTACATGTGGGTACCCACATGGTTAATCGTGGCTTGTGACATTGTGTCCTAAATTTCGGCAAGAATCTATCGTTCACCTCAGCCGGCATTGTTCGATACCCTGCTATGGTGCTGGGCATTTTCTGTGCGGTCGTCCATCCCACACTGGAAATCCAAAGGGGATGGATATATCAACCCTTTTTGATGGATTGTCCACCTTTTTTGATACAATCCAAATTTTGTCCATGGCACATCTTGGCCCTTTTTGGTATCTAAGGACATCTACAAGGTGGTACCCCCTAAGTTGGTTTATATAATTCCCATTAACTATAGATATAACATGATATCACCACCGAATCAACCCTAGATTAATTGCTGGTTGGTGGTTTCAACCCCTCTGAAACATATGAGTTCGTCAGTTGGGATGATGACATTCCATTCCCAAGTCTTCATGGAGAGTCATGTACCAAAATTCCATGGTTCCAGTCACCACCAAAAGTGATATAACCACCAACCATCAACCCTGGATTAATTGGACTTGTTTAAGCTAACGCCGCCCGTAGAGACGCGGGTTTTTTTAACGTTTTTTACTGCGTTCATACTCTTTGTGGGTTGTCTGGGTGGGGGGGTGGGGTGATGTTAACGTTCCTTGGAAGCGTTACGTGACATACGCTGGGGTTGGGGTGGGGGGGGTGGGGGGGGGTGGGGTGATGTTAACGTTCCTTGGAAGCGTTACGTGACATACGCTGGGGTTGGGGTGGGGGGTGGTGGGCGTCTAGGGCGGCGGTAATTAATGTCATTTTTTTAGACAGGCATAGGGCTGCACAAAGACATGAAATAGTTCTAACTCACAAACAAACACACACTTTGGTAAACTCCATAATGGAGAGGGTGAAATGAGATGAAATGATAACCATCATGTCATGTTGTTACATTAGCATGTCATGTCATGTCATGGCATGTTGGCATGGGTGGTTTTTGGCTTGGCCACCTTGCCATTTCGGATAGAAGGAGTTTGCAGGTACGTTTTCACGACGACATAGATGGGTCTTCGTTGGCCCGTGCCATCTATGGCGATCTTTGAAAGATTACCTGCCTAAAACTTTAGCAACAAAGTCAAAGGCAGGCCATGTCAATCAAAGCCTTTGGCAATGGACCTACAGCTGGCAGTACAGATGCAACAATGGCAAAGACCTTTGGACAGCTGTGCCACATGTCCTGAAGCACATCAGAAATGCCTGAGTGCAAAACAGCCCGCGTCTTTACGGGCGGCGTTACCCCGGCGCTGCCATGGCGCTGCCATCGCCTTCAAATGGAACTCGAAGGCCTCGCCTGGTCATCGCAAGGGCAAGGGCAACCTTCGACAAAAAAATGTGATTGGCCAATTGGCCAGGAATAAACGTGGATTTACCATGGGTCATTAAATGTCCCCATTGAACATCACCCAGCCATTAGGTATATGGTCATAATGGCTACTATAAGGTGATGTCCAATATTCCCAAAATGGGACAGTTACCAACCCCTGTTTACCTATGACAAAAATGGTGATTGTCCATAGACATAGTGGATTTACCTAGGAAAACTGGTGATTGTTCCTATTTTTTCCATAGTTATGCCATGTACCAACAATTAAAAATTTGAGTACCCAATGTTGAATAATGTTGATATCAAATGTCCAATCTAGATGATGCCAGATCTGTGTCCATACATGTCTATACGTATGATCTCAGGAATCAACCAGCCGATAGGAAGCGATCCCAAATCACCAAGCAACACGTGGGGACGGTCCTGGAAACATATCTAACTTCTACTTACTGGTGCTTAGTAGGGAATGGATGGGAATGGGGGTTGTTGGGATGATTATTGATAGTTATTGTGGATCATTCGCTCATTCCCTGCTAAGCACCAGTAAGTCTAATGTGGTTAAAACAATAACCCATATGCTCCATGGTGCTGGTATATTTATATACCTACATGCCTGGGTGATTTTGGACAAGGGCAAATGTTGGGATTCATATTCCTGCACCATGGTTCGCATATGGGTAATAAACCATCCCCAAAATCACCATGTTTATGCCAGCGGGGGTAAAACCGCGCCAGCGTTTGAACCGTTTTTGAAAACACACAGATTTTATCCGTAGCATGCACATCTTACGTTACGTCACTGGGTTGGGGGGGGGGGGGATGTTCACGTTCATGTTAACTTGCGTCACATGCACATCTTACGTTACGTCACTGGGTTGGGGGGGGGGGGGCATGTTAACGTTCATGTGACCTTGCGTCACATGCACATCTTACGTTACGTCACTGGGTTGGGGAGGGTGGGGCATGTTAATATTCATGTTAACTTGCGCCACATGCACATCTTACGTTACGTCACTGGGTTGGGGGGTGGGGGATGTTCACGTTCATGTTAACTTGCATCACATGCACATCTTATGTTACGTCACTGGGTTGGTGTTGGATGAACTCCAAGACGAAAAGTCTTATGGAGGTCACAGGTCGAGCCTTGAAAGACCGTGTGTAGCAATGTGAGTTGGAAAAAAAGACCCGGCGAGTTTTCAGGAACAAATTCCCTGTAATTTACAGGTTATCGTTTAAAACATACTTCAAAATCCCGGGGAAATTTGAGCCAATTTTGGGGCATGAATCAGCAGTTTCGCTATGGCGAAAACGACATTTTTTTAAAAAACCCTCAAAACGCTGGCGCGGTTTTCCCCCCGGCGGGATGTTTATGGGTGGTATAAACCATCAAACATGGGGTGGTTTATGGCATTGTTTTACCCACATTAATCTTCTAGATCTTAGTCACATTCGAATGGTCAAGGTGCCCAAAAAAAGCACCTATCAGCTGCTACAGTGTAGTTGTTTCATAGCCATCAAACCGGAGTTATAACTAGGGCGAGTTATAAATCTGGCCAAGCCTTAGACTCCTTAGACTTGGGCCAATGGAACATTGGACCCTGCTGGCGGTCGAGGACATTTTTTTTTCCCCCGGACTTTATCTGAAATGGCAATGGAAAAGTCATGAACTTGTCCCGTTTGCAGTTTTCTGTCTTATAAAAACCTCGATTTATACTGGTGGTATACCTACCCCTCTGAAAAATGATGGAGTTAAAGTCAGTTGGGATGATGACATTCCCAATATGATGGGAAAGTCATAATCCATTCATGTTCCAAAGCACCAACCAGTCTTAGTTAGGCGATTTCCCATTGCCATTGCACAAAAGCAGCATGGAAATTGTGTCCGTCGCATTCACCCGCACATTCACCCGCACTATGACCACACACATGTAGCAATGTCAAACAAGGAGCCCCCTGCAGTAGATAGCTAAGTTGGTTTATAATCAACATAGCTGCTAGGGTCTATGGTTATAGTGCTGATGGTTGTGGTTATAGTGTGAAATTATATGTGTATCTGCATATCTATCTGTCTGTCTGTCTATCTGTCTATCTATCTGTCTGTCTATCTATCTTTCTATTTTTCTATCTTTCTATCTTTCTATCTATCTATAGTAATGGATGGACATGGGGGTCATAAACCAACAAAGATGACTGGGGAGCTCACCTTCCAATTGCTCCTATTCAATAGGCACCATCTGATAATCGCCAGACGATGGATTGCCATCGTTATGAAAGAAACCCAGAAATCGTCAGTTCAGAAATGGATGGTCCGTCGCTTTGGTTTGCTTCAAAAAGTTCCAACCAAAATCTTGCGGTTTCCTGCGGTCTTCTCAACAATTGGGTATGGGTCAAAATTAGGTACCCCAATAATTGGATGGTTAATACTAACCTAGACTAACATCTGTGGTCCCCTAGGTCTTCCATTTTGACCCACATCCAATTCAGGGTCATCAAAAAGTGTCTTTTTCTGGTGGAATCCTTCCATGTTTCGTGGGGCTTCCACCCGGATCTTGCGCCTGGAAGCGCCGAGAGTGTCAGCGCCAACTGCCGTGATCCCCACAAACTTCTGGAGATGTAGCCTGAAAAAAACTCGACGAAACGTGGGGGAAAAGGTCACGACCTCCCCAGAAACCCAATATTGGGTAAACTGGTAAATGGTAAACGGTAAGGCCTTCATCATTTGGGTGATCTTGAAAACCCTTCATTTGTTGAGTCCTTATTTGGGAGGTCGGGTGACTGCCGGTGACCTGGTTATAACTTGCCTAGATTTTGATGTCCTGGATCCGAAAACATGGCCAAGGGTAGATACCTGGATTGATTGGAGAGGGAACATCTAAACCTGAAACCACGGTTTCACGATGAAAAAATGGGGCTGGAACTATCCCTTTCAATCAATCCTGGGAATACTGTACAAATGCCATCTGCAAATGATCAAATTTGATCAAATTGGTCGTAGCGTTTCGGATGCAAACGATGCAAATGGACAGCCCCATATATTGCTGGTTGGGATGATTATTCCCAACATATGGAAAAATAAAAAATGTTCTAAATCACCAACCAGATATATTGTTATTCCGATATTCCAATTATTAACCATTATTCACCATAGATTAACCATAGATTAACCATGTTGCAGTATAAACATCTGTACCAATCACCAGTCCGTTGAACAGAAAGGAGGCTCAAGGGATCTTCCCTACTGATCACCTGAGGCTCCCCTCAGACGTTCCCAGCATTTTCTTACACAAACATCACTGAGAAATCTCAAATGCCCCGCTGAAAAAAAGTTCATCACTAACTTATTGGCTTGTTAGCCATGCGAAGCAAATGTTAGTACTACCCTGCGGTAAACTAATATAGCTACTATTGAACATGGATGAACATGAACCATTTAGTTCGTTTTTCTGTGCTGATTTACCTAGTCAAAGAAGTTGATTTTCCATATCATACATAGAGTAGTTATGTTAGTTTACCAGAGGCTATCCCCATTTTCCTGTCCCCTACCCCTTCACCCAGCGACATTCTGCTGACACCGGCGTGCCGGCCAAGTCGACCTGTGGCGATGTGTTGGTTGAACTAACAACTCAACAACTCAACTCAACAACATTCAACACTACAGCCCATATGCTCCATGTATAGTATATTTACCTACATTTGGGTAATTTATGGGGTAAATGTTGGTAAATATTCCATACATGGAGCATATGGGATTTACTTGAGCTGAGTTGAGTTTGCCGAATTGCGCTTCACGATGTTCTATGGCTATGGCTAGGAAAACAACACATTACATCCAACGTATCGACGGCAGGGACAAAACGTATCCATGCTCGTTGTGGACTCTGGACCATCGACCTGGAAGCCAATACCTGTATTGGTTTGCTTCACACGCACAAACCAAAAAAAAGGCAACATCCCAAGTTCAGGTTCTTCTGATGAAGACTAACAGTTCAAAATCAATCGATGTACCATCTGGTTATTTAACATAGCTATGGAAAATCCCTTATAAATGGAGGTTTGAATGGGAACATCATCTATAAATGGGCAATTTTCCATGGCTATGTTAAATAACCAGAGGGTACCTACTAAAATCTCGTCTCTTCCATAAGGTGTCTTTCAGAGGTCGCCTCGTTCCTTTTCACCATCTGTTGTTGACCTTTAGCATACCTTTAGCAAATTCAGCAACCCGTTCAAGTCTCTGATCAATGCTGGTTGGTGGTTTTAACCATCTTGAAAAATCATAGTCATTTGGGGTTACTATTCCCACTATATGGAAAAATAAAAAATGTTCCAAACCACCAACCAGAATGGTTATAACCCCATTGGAGAACTATCCAGATTCACCCGCAAAGTGCTCTCTTAACCCCTGGAGATGTTCAGCTACCCTCCGATAAACAAACCGTTTGCGAACTGGAAACCGTGGCCCAGGAACAGTTCGAACATTTACCTCTTGTCTACCCTCTGGTAATCAAACATGGCACGGGAAAATTTCCCGTTTGTAGCAAAATTACTCCTTAAAACCTCCACTTGGTTGGGGGACTTTTGATTTTCCATTGCCAGGTTTGATTACCAGAGGGTATCAACCAATAGTCCATTGGTATAATCCACTCATATTCCATATAGTATCCGCATGATACCAGCAGCAAGCCCTGTTGGGCTAAACCTCTCAGCTACACATCGCCTTGATCATAGTCTTCTGTGCCATGAACGTCAGCTGACGATCAACCTCCACATAAGAAAGGTGAAAAATGTGAAAATCGAACCAGAACACAGCTAGGTTCTGAAAGAAATGGGATGAAATGGTTGTACATGGTTGTATCATGTTGTAACGTATCATCAACATGGGGTAATTAAGATAGCGAAATAATGCAATGTTTTTAGCGATTCTTGCCCATCTTGCGGGACACCAAGAAACTCCTGCACGACGCTATCAAGGCAGTTAGTTTTCCGGATGCTTTCTGAACTTCAGAGTCAGCCGAAGTGTTTCCCCCAAACAGTACATATTAGCTAATGAATATCAGAGAATATCTACGATTAGTAGATCATTGTCATTGTCCTACCATTTCCTGAGAAAACCGTGGGTTCTATATTTTGGCTGGTAATCAAACGCAGCTGGCTGGACAATTCCCAACAATGGACGTTGATAGCTGGGAGAACTATTGAACTGGTGGATTTTTCAGAACGTAATGTTTGATGACACAAGAGGGATATAGTAATCTCCAAAAAATAATCAGCAAAAAATGCCGCAATGTGTTTCCACGATGGTGCTTCGATGATGTTCTCCCTATCATCTTCCAGTTTTTTCAACTTGTTTGGCATTTTTTGGTGGTGCTGCCATAAAGTATATTAATTAAATAATACTAAATCTGGTTGGCGGTGCAATAACAATCTTGAAAAATATGAAAGTCAGTTGGGAAGGATGACATCCCATATATTGTGGAAAAAATCATGTTCCAAAGCACCAACCAGTGATTATTAGCCAAACCCCCCCTTAGATTATCCAGATTAATGTTGATTTATAGTCATGTACCACTAACCATGTTTGAAACCACCAATCAGATCCACCATTTTTCCCCTCATTTTTGATCCCCCCAAAAAAAAATCCATGGAAAATCTCAGATCCACCATGATCCACCTGCTTGGAGATCTGCAGCAGCCGACGTCGATCTTCGCTATGGCCAACGGCCTCGATCTTGGGATTTCACGATGGAAAATCTAGGCGAAATCGAGGGAAACATGATGAAACATCGGCTTTTTTCATTCAGAATGGGATGATCCATGATAAAAAGGCTTTTTTCATCCATGAAGTTCTGGACCTTGAAAAATTGTTTTTTTTTTTCATCCATGAAGAATGAAGAAGATGGAGAATCCTATCAAACATCAGGCTTTTTTCATTCAGAATGGAATGATCCATGATACGCCATGAGAACATATGAGGACCAACGATAATCCATGAATTTCAGGGGACCCCTTATTATGATCCAAATCAATGAACTATCTTAGGATTGAAACCTATGAGTACCCCGAGTCTTCCCCGATTCAAGGATCAGTCTGCTTGGATGTTGACCCAGGCATAGTCACATAGTCGGGAAGTTCTTTAATTGGGCGACCCCGAGTGGTTCCGAGTGATTGATCATAGTTGATGCGGACACGAATCGTGGTTTTTGGGGTACCCCAAAAAACTTTATTGAAGCACCCAGAGCCAGTTAGATATTGGCCCGCTCCAAGGTAACCAAGGTAGCATGTGTGACCAGATTTTGCCAAGCAAGTCAGTCAAATTAGCAATGGTTTCAATAACTGTGCAAATAGTTGGCATGCGGCCTGCCACCAACTTATAGGCAACAACGTCTGAGTCATGACAGGTTGTGGCGAATACCCTTTGGGTATTTAACATAGGGAAATTGCCCATCTATAAACATTAATCATTTATGATGATTTACCTAGTCAACATGATGATTTTCCATATCTACCAGCATCTACCAGCCACATTCAATAACCAGAGCATACCTTGATTCTGACCCTCCGCGGAAACCACGAAGACACATGGATTATATAATATAGTAATGTTTAATCCATGGATCACTTCGAGATTTTTTTTCGTTCGCTTCTCTTCCAGACTCTGTCCACGAGTGACGGCGACATCTCAAACGAAAATCCTAATGTCCTAATATGTCCTAATATATCCTAATATGTCCTACAGTAATGCTCATGACTATACCTGGTTGGTGGCTTTAACCATCTTGAAAAATATGAAAGTCAGTGGGAATGATTATCCCATACATTCTGGAAAATAATCCATTCATGTTCCAAACCGCCAACCAGATACCCTCTGGTGCTGGAAAATCTTCCATTTAGGCGATTTTCTCCCCCCGCGCCATGCCTCCCGAAGAAAGTCTGAACCGCTTGATAAACCCGTGATCCTGGGCGGCGGCCGGATCCCTGGCTTCGGAATTGGTTTCAGGGAACACCTACCCTCTGGTTATGTCAAAATAGCTATTGAAAATACCACATTTATAGTGGATTTTCTCAATAAAAATGGTGATTTTCCATAGCTATGTTAAATTACCGGAGGGTATACACTGTGACCACAGATTTACACCATGGTTTTTCCTAATCAATCTGGGATTTCCTGTAACATGTCCCAGAAAAATTCCGTTTCATGGTCTTGTTCAGGCTAAAATCTGTGCCGTGGGGTGCAAGTGGCGAAGAACTTGGAATCAAAATCTCGAAACCGGTGGCGGGCTCAGCATGGGGCTTTTCATAACACAAGAGTGACTGGTTAGTAAGTAATTGTAACCTATCCATCTACCTATCCCCCCAAAAATATGTTCGGCATCTCAACCAACCGTTCCTTTTTGCATGGCTGAACAGCAATAAATATGTGAAACCGCCAGACACGTGATGAATCGGGAAGTGATCAAGCCAGATGCTTCCCATATTCCAACGCTTTCATCATTCCAGATCAAACAAGACACAAACAGCTGGAATGCGGTTGGGGCATGGTATGCGGAGACTACGTTTTAGCATCGGGAAGCACACGACTTAGAAATCACAAGAATTTGGTGGTACTCAACTGGGGCGCAAAGTCTTTGAGGATTAACTTACCTGGCAAGTTCCCCCGCTGCCTTCAGAGGTGTTGCTTCATACCACAAACCTGTGGACATATGGGAGGTTCTTACAATGGAGGAATCCAAATGACACATGTTGGGGTTTCCATACAGCTGGATGGTACATTAAATGGAAAATCCCGAGAAAAAAAGGGCGGATGATTTGTGGGTACCCATATTCTAGGAACCCTCCACATAGGAAACCCTCCAAGGATCCCAACTCGAAAAAAAAAACCACTGTCCAGGCCAGGTGGCTGGCCAACCTCTGTGGAAGGATCCATCTGTACCTTCCCCAGGAACTCAGGTCGCTGGAAAATTCATGGAGGATTTCTCTGACGGGAAACCCGAAACCAAGATGTTTATCATGTCTGGTTGGGATTATATTCCCAAAATATGGGAAACTTAAACATGTTCCAAACCATCGACCAGATGATGTTCATTGATTTTCCCATTCAATTCGTCATTTTGGGGGCGTATATCATCGTATATAATATATTTTGTTTCTGGACACGTCTAATGCCCAATTTTTACACAGCCTCCAACCTGCTTTCTGGCAAGAAATCAACCTAAATAAAGTAGCCAGCCAAGATACATCATTCAATCAAAAATCCTACGCCTGATAAAAACCATGGGTGATGATGTGTTAGATATCCATAGATATGCTGCATGTGATACTTCCCTCAAGTTAGCCATCACTTGTGGGGACGTTGCTTGAGGTTGCGAGAAAGTTTCCAGACATTCTTTTGAAATGGGCCTCCCAACCTTGGTTCTGGTAACTTGCATTAGAACCTGTTTGAACATGGTACAACGTCACAAAGTCGATCTAAGACCCCAGCACATATTCTGGCAACCTGTGCCGGTTAGTTGATTTGTTCCTCTCAGAAGTAAACGTGTACGACAATACTGGTCAAGTGCATGTATCTTCCAAAAAACACCGAATAAAGACTGTGATCCCGCCGGGTATGCAGCCATGGTTCGGTGCTTTGAAACAAATTTGGTATGTTCATCATCATCATCAGCAACAACAACATCATCATCATCATCCTCATCCTCATCATCCTCATCCTCATCATCCTCATCCTCATCATCCTCATCCTCATCATCATCATCATCCATCATCATCCATCATCATCATCATCATCATCATCATCCTCATCATCACCATCATCATCCTCATCATCACCATCATCATCATCCTCATCCTGATCATCTTCATCATCATCATCATCATCATCATCCTCATCATCATCATCATCCTCATCATCATCCTCCTCCTCATCATCCTCATCATCATCCTCATCATCATCCTCCTCCTCCTCATCATCATCATCATCCTCATCATCATCATCATCCTCATCATCATCCTCCTCCTCATCATCCTCATCATCATCATCATCCTCATCATCATCCTCCTCATCATCATCATCATCCTCATCATCACCATCATCATCCTCCTCCTTCTCCTCCTCCTCATCATCGTCATCATCATCAACAACAACATTATCATCATCATCATCCTCCGCCTCCTCCTCATCATCATCATCATCCTCATCATCATCCTCATCATCCTCATCATCATCATCATCATCATCATCATCCTCATCATCATCCTCCTCCTCCTCATCATCATCATCATCATCGGTCTCTTGCCGGGATCAATCCCCCATCCCCCGGCAGGACCGCAGGACGCGCACGGATTGCACGGACCAAGTCGGATCCGACACCGTGACACGGATGTCGTGGAGGCCGCCTACGCAAAGGATGACACCCGAGCTGACTTTGGAGGGGGGTTGTGATTTCAGATGGTTTTACCATCCCGAAATGGGCATACAAAGAACCTCCAAGTGCCCATAAATATGAGTTGACATATTAAATTTCTGGGTAAACTAGTATAGCAACACCAATGGATACTTGAAGGGTCCAGTATAAAAGCGATCGAGTCATGTATATTATCATTATTCCCCATGTCTCATATGGGCTCACCAACGGAATAGATTCAATACTAGACCAATGTATCTAAAGGATTTCATACCTAGGGGATGAAATTGCCAAAATCAACTCCCAAAGTATGACCACTGGTGATTACTGGGATGAAAAAAACAACGTTGGACTGGTAAGAAACCAACAAAAGGTTTGGGGGCCACCACCCTCTAGCCATCTCTAGCCATGGAGTATGGAGGTAATGGAGCTATAAATCAACGATCAAACAGGCCCCAATTTCAGAATATACCCCATCTCCAGGGGAGATATATCAAAATATTTCAAATTATGTATAGTAACCCCAAAACAATAAATAAATGGACACGCAAGTCACCAGGATCTTCAATTTGCATAATTATCTTAGCATGAGAGTCTGCTTTTCTATCGTTTTGGGGTTGCCAGTTCCTATGCTAAATCCACATATCAAATAATTGCTCTGAACAATGAAACGAACATGGCCAAACATGGGATGAACCGCGATGCGGAATGGAATTTGTTTATTAATTGTGTTGGTTAGTATAGTGAGTTATTGTGAGTTAATATGAGTTATAGTTGTATCATGTTATATCACCTTGTAACATCTTGTAGGTGGGTATATCACCTAGTAGACCTAGCGCCTCACTTCCCCCCGCCCACCGCCTATCCACCGTGCCTGACACGTGCCAATGTCCCCAGGTACTCACGAAAAGCGTGAAGAGTGGCCCGGTGGAACTTGCGATCCTGGTCTGGTGATACTGGTGATCTGGGTGGTGAACCACTGGTGGGTTTCCCGAGTTTCCCGACTCATGGCATCAGAGGGACCGTGGATGGAATCTGACCAACTGGCCATGGCACATCATGGCACCATGAAATATTATAGCCGATATGTCCAGAAACCCAGAGAGTTTCGCGGATCTCTGGTTGATTCATGTTGATTCTGGTTGGAACCTCACCATGTTTCAGCCTGTTTTTCTCGGGGCATCCAAGGAGGCCACCAGCCATGGACCAACATTCTCCATCTGCAGATGATGCATGGCAATTTCCATGATACTGTGGATGGTTGCGAAATCCTGCACCACCAACAGGATGGTTGAAACTCTATAAATAAAGGGATAAAGCATCTACCAACTGCACCAAGTTCGGATGGTTTTTCAACCATATAAATAATGGGATGTTTGCCATCTATATAGAACTGGTGCAGGATTTCGCAACCATCCACAGTATTTCATTTCAATTGCTGCACAACAGGAGTGTCGAACCAAGACAGGCGAGGTGAAAATCCACAGTATTTCAGATTACCAGAGGATAGAGTTTGATTCAAACCCCAGCTGTCCTTGCGACTAGTGACTCTAGCGACTTGGGCGGTAGCTACAGGAATACCAACAGAAAGTACCCTCCGACAATCAAAAATAGCAAGTGGAACTGCCCATTAAGACATCAAAATTAGTTCGGGGATTTCCCAGCTAGCCACGCTTGCTCACCGGAAGCTACATGACATGGGCATGGATCGGAAGTGGGGCGACCATGCGCGATCCCCAAAACTGGGATGGCCAAGACTAATATTGACCATTCTTTGTGGCAGCCCAGGCCTTAAATGTTGACCCAAGGTCGACCAAACTATAAAAGACCTAATCTCCAATAGCTGCGGTTCCAATTTTTGTTAGCCTCTATGGTTATTTACCCTAGCTATGGACAATGGTCCATGTATATACCATTTATGATTTACCCACTCGATTTTTTCCCATTTGACAATTTTTGACCCATAGCACCCCCAACTTTCTCCCCATGTGAATAAAAAACGAGGCACAAAGACAGAGATTTGGCGACCAAATCCAATGCACTGTAGCACAAAACCTGGCGGACATCCCAGCAAGCCGGTCCTGCGTTTGTAACATCGGAAGTGCTGGTAATTGTAATGTGGGTAAAACAATGCCATCTGCACCAACCCCCAGTCATCACCAGGTTAATAGGTTCCATAAACTTTATAAACCCTTTGGTTTATGACATTGTTTTACTCACATTATAGTACCATGATGTTCCGCCTTGGCTGAGATATTCCTCTGGTAACCGCCATTGTTCGGGGAACTTGACTTACCCCATCTCCGGGCAAAACCCAGTTGCCGATGGTGAAAACGGATGATGACCAAACCCACGGTCCGATCAAGTGTAAGGCTATGAATACAAGGTGAGCCCCCTAGATAGCTAAGTTGGTTTATAGCTTGGTCAACTAAGATTTATGGGGAATATATCTAGACTTGGGGGTTATAAACCAACTTAGAACCAGGCGGGGTGCACCTGCTATCTGGTAGCTTCTTGACCACCATCAATCAGCAGTTGCTCATGAAGTGTCACTAAGCATCTGCCATTTTTCAGGGGGACCTTTGGGAGGGCGTCCTGCTTGGATCATAGCAACCACGCGTTGAAGTAGTCTCGACTTCGACAGTTCCCGCATCGAAACACACCAGCTCGTTCTGCAACTTAAGACACGCGGAAGAAAACATGTATGCATTGCATATAATACAATATAATACACTATTGTATATTTTGGATCAAATGGCTGCATTTGGCGGCTCTCAAATAATGATTCAACATGTCGAAAGGCGCTTAAACTTTTTTATAAGATCGCCGTTCGGTGATGATGTTGGAATGGTTCTCCTTGCATTTGCCCGCATTTCCAGTGATGTCGCAGTGCGGTCGCGACATAATTTCCTCCAGATATTTTGGAATTATCTTCCTGTATTTGATGCTTTTTTGGTTACCATTAGAAGTTAGCTTCCTTTGTTCACAATGTCATTGAACCACCAACCACTCGGCCTCTTCTTGCCAGGGGGTGATGATTTCAAAGGAGCGTAGGGCATAGACCAAAGGGTAGCAGCTCCAAATGACATATTTCACCTCAGCCGATGGGAAGTAACAATGACCTATTGGAAAAATGCATGAGAAACCGGTCTGGTATACCACTTATCAGCCTTATCATCACCATTTATCAACCAACCGGTAGGACAAGGACATCTATAGTAGGAAGTGCATCTGCGCAGGATATTGATCTGGTTGAAACATGGCTATAGGTTTTGTGCTCATGGGATTTAAACATCAACAATAAGGATTCAATGGCATTTAATAGGGCTTAATGTAAGATGGAATAGTGATCTGGCTGAATCATTATAATTTGCCAACAAGAAATAAGGCCATTTGGGGATAATTCTCCACAATCTACCCATGATTCCAGATTGATGATATTGGACTTACCTTTAGGTCCATACCCAATGGACTCCAAGGGTGAGTTCAGTGCGCGCGGCGAAGTGCAGCCAACCGTGGTATCGCCCATGGAACTATAGGAAGAAACTGCAGTATTCGATTGAAATCATCCGCATGAACCATGAATGTTGAACCAACAAATCGATGAACACGAGTCACAAAACTGGTGTTTCCAAGTTCCAGTGAGGTCAACAAAAACACTTTTTCCACTGACCATGTCCAGTGCAGTTAAGCAACATTCAAGTAGAATCTACCTGGCCATTGCGGTCCCGATCCAAACTGAGTCCAGACTGGGAATGGTAAACCTACATAGCACCTATAACAATGCTGATGACTGGGGGATGCTGTAAAGATGGCATTGTTACACCTACACGAAACCATGCTTATCCGGCTTATCCATGGTGTAGAGGTTCACCAAGTCAAATGATGACAAGTCAGGCAAAGCGGCGCAGCCTATTCTCAGCGTATCGGGAGAAACATCCCAGTTCCCACCCGGTGTCATCAAACATGGCTTGCTGGCTTGCTGGACACTTCCCCACGAGCCAATGGACGTTGATAGCTGGGAAATTTATTGAACTGGTGGATTTTCCAAACCTAGGGATTTCTCATCCAGATCATCCAGCAACGTTTCATGACACCAGGTAATCACAACGTTTCCCATTCAGGGGCACTGCAACGGTGCCATTGGGTAGAATCCAAATCCATGGCTGCCATCTGAACGGAAAAAATATGATTCACCTTTCCGAAAACCGAATATTGTTATGAATACCCTCTGGTAACCTAACATAGCTATGGAAAATCACTATTTTTCATGGGTAAATCCACTAATATCCACTATAAATGGCCATTTTCAATAGCAAACTGTTAGTTTACCTGAGGGTAACCAAACATCATTTCCCCAAAAAAACACCAACCATCATTGATTCACCAAGCATATTCCCCAATGGATCGTTTCCCATCCGTTTCCCCAACAGCCATGTTTTGCATTCGCAGATTGTGTGAATATATGACCTCCGCAAAAGGCGGAGAACGAAATGTCTAATGACGTCATCACTCCCCTAAACTTAACATGAATATATTAACAACATATATGTATATATATACATAATTATATATAAAAATATTATATATCTTAACACCGACAAAAAGATATGTAACTATCCAGGAAATCACATGTTTTCGATTGTGTTGGTTGTTGCTAAATAATATATCGGCCTGTCTTTGCAATGGCCGGCTCCATTGGAAAACGATGAGCCTTAGCCGAACATGCCCGGAATGCCCAACGGCCCCGAACACAAAACGCATGGAACATATACATTTCGGGGGATATTCATGGGATAAACAGGGGATAAAAATGGATTAAATAATTCAATCTGGTTGGTGGTTTTAACTATCTTGAAAAATATGAAAGTCAATGGGCATGATTATCCCATATATTCTGGAAAATGAAAAATGTTCCAAACCACCAACCAGAATAATCCAATGGAATATGGCCTCCGGTCATTGCTTGAAGGATGCTGGAAGAGCACCGGCGATGTGACCTTCAATATTCTTTTGGACATATTCCAATGGTATATGGTTAACTATACAAATAAGTCTGATACAAGTAACTATATCTCTCTCCATCTATTTATATACAAAAGCACTTACTTACATGCACACTTACATATCATAGAGAGAGAGAGAGACATTCATGTATATAATGTTTCCATGTCATATTTGAATAACGCAATGCCAACCTTAGACATTCGTGAGACAATAGTTGATTGTGTCTGCCTCCATAAAAAGCAAATTGTTAAAGTACTAAACTATCCATCACCAGTACGTTTTACTGTGATAGTAAACTCACCATATGCTGTTGGTTAAGGCCCGATGTTTATTGATATATGCATAATATATATAATATAACACGGATATAATATATATATATATTATAATATATAATATACAATACATAATATATATATAATATATATAATATATAAAAATATAATAGATAGAATAGATAATAGATATAATATATATATATATAATAATTTAATAATATATTAATATATCTATCTATCTATCTGTCTGTCTATCTATCTATCTATCTACCTACCTACCTATCTATCTATCTATCTATCTATATATCTATCTAATCTAATCTAATCTAATCTAATCTAATCTAATCTATCCATCCATCCATCCATCTATCTATCTATTTATAATATATTTATATATATTCTATCTATAATATATATATATACATATGTATATTGAATGGCTAAATCCCTTTCCGGGAAATTACCACCCAAGACTATGTGCAATACAAATGCTCCTGTCAGCCCAGCCACCCTTACATAGGTGGTCAACATGCACATGCAGGCAAGGGTGTAAAAACAGCGGACCTGGCCACGGACAAACGACTTTGCAAAATCAAACAACTCCTGGCAATTTATAGCAACCCCTAAAAAGATAGAAGAATAAAATTACACTCAAACAGGTGTAAATTACTTGACTTACTGTTTTTTGTGGTTTCTTTAGTTAGTCAAATTCGCAAAAGAAAGATACCGTGTCTCAAAGACGATGCCCATCATCAGTGACACAGTTCAAAACATCACAAAACCATGTAAATGTGAAAATGTAATATTGATAGATGCGTAACTATGGTTGTTGCACATCTACATATTCAATAATATTTATAGATACCATATACATGCCGTATCATGTTGCTAGGTGTGGAAAATGAACAGCAAAAGTCACACACACAACTCCCTCTCGGCTTTCCAGTCCCGGAACGCCAGGAGTGGGTGACGACGAACATGACGACATGACATCCCCACCTTTTAGCATGTTTTACCCTTTGGGAATTTAACAGTTTGCTATTGAAAATGGCCATAGAATTAGTTGATTTACCTATGAAACATGCGGATGCCAGGGCAAACTGTTAGTTTACCAGAGGGTGCCTGCCAAACTTGCCAAACACCCAAAAGGCCTGCCAATGAGGCGCGATCCAGGTATGCTCCTGTGACATATCCACCTGTCAAAGGTGGTAGAACGTGGACACGCTTTCATTGGCAAGCATGCAATATGGTGGGGTTCCAAATCTGTGTGCATGCAATCATCTGCGTAAATTATAACCACCTCACTGTTCTCCCTCACTGGAATCATTGTTAATAAGGGAAAACATCCCCAAATCGCCGAACTATTCAGGTTACTGAAATATTGTAATTTACCCAGAGTAATGTATAGCACACATATGCATATGAATATGTATACTGTATATGTACATATAATATATATATATACATGTATAATTATCATTCATTCTCTACAAGTATCATACATCAATATTTGTGAGTGTAAATACTAGGGGTGAAACGTACTGAGCCAATAATCACCTTTCAATACCTATGCAGAAAACGTAAAATAAGGCGTTTGGATTTTTTTTAATTGAACATAACCCCTGGTTGCCTATGATTCCCCAAAGAAGATTGGTTCCTGATTTTATATCTACAAAAAGTGTATATTATTTACAGTATTTATATAGGTGCATAAGTATTTTAAACATATGTATACATATGTAATATCGACCAATTCAATCACAGAAAAAAGATCCATGGAAGATTATCACATACTACATTACCATTATGAATGTATACGTAGTTAGTATAACATCTAGTTGGTGGTTTCAACCCCTCTGAAAAATGTTAGTAAGTCAGTTGGGATTATTATTCCCAATATATGGAAAAATGAAAATGTTACAAACCACCAATCAGAAAAAATATATCATGGATTGTTTTCTTCTCTTCTTTTAAGGGTCGATTTCGCAATATGCGATCCTATTCTTCCAAGCTTTCTGATCAAATATACAGTAGATTCGACATGAAATAAACGATTGAAAATCTTAAAACCACAGTTCTGATAAGACCATAACCAATTTTAATATAATATAATATATATATATGATATGATATGGATCGAAATGTTATCCCTATTTTTATCCATGGTTTCCGGCTATATCAATGTGTATAATCAATTTCGTGCGCTTTGTTCACTCCTCATTCTTGTGGTGAAGCCTCCTCCGGAAAATGATACTGCCAACCAGTTCTAGTTCAATTGCAGTTTCCCTTGTACCTAGAGCATACTCACCCCGAAAAAGATAGAAACGTGATTTACCACTATTTTACCCGGCTTTCACTTTTCAGTATTTTTGGCCTTGCTACAGTATATCTTCAGTTCCTATGGGATAGGTCACAGCATCCACCAGCCATCGCTGCATCTACACCTGTGTAGCACATAGGCCAAAGACCATGGTGAAGGCCTCAGTAGCGAGTTGCTGATGGTAGTTGCTACTGGGGCAGTGAATCTTGGTGGGATTCGTCACTGATTTTTTTCGGGGGTTTAACATGGTTGAACCGAGAAAAATGATGATTTAATAGGGTTCAACCAACCAACATGCTGGATTCTGATATATTCTGATGCTGATATCATGGAAAGTTCTTGGGATATTCATGGAAAATAACATGGACTATTGGTTGGCTACCCTGAAGGGTAACTCAAACATGGCGATTTCTGGGAAATCCCCAAAGTAAATGGAGGTTTTCATGGGAACATCATGTGTAAATTAGTTACTTTGGGGGGTAGTTGCTACTGGCCTTCTAAAGCGAACCAATGGGACAGCCAGCGATCATTGGACATTTCTTGGCGGTTTGTTGATCCCCTGGCTATGACCAAAATCAGTGGGATAAATGAGGGTTTACCAATCGAAGCAAGGCAAGACATCGAGTGCATGGGTATATTTCCTTAGATATTTCTTGGTTTGACCGTTTGAAAATGGGTCGACCGTTCGGGTCGTTTGGGGATGTTTGGGGACAAGTTCATCACTCCATGTACCCGGGTATCCTTACCCCAACTTTAAGCGTTCAACCTCTCAATTCTATTCAATTCTCTCATGTAACCAAATTTCTGTATATATGTTGTATGTACATTAGGCTTAAACATGATAGCTAAACGCATTGTATAATAATAAATAAAATGGATTAAAATGGAATATTATAATATGTATCTAATATGTATATTACATCATAATATACAAGTCACCATCGCCACAAAAAAAACACGTAAAACAGGGTTTACGGATCAGCAAAAAATAGCCTCCAAACTGCAACGAAGGGACTGTCGAGATCATCAAGTTGCTGGCTTCGCGCCAACTGGCTTTGGTATACAGCCGTGCGTGCATCACCTGGACAGGGTGGAAAAAAACCTTGGAGGGATGATGGTCCCAAAGATCTGTGTACCCTCTGGTAAACATACAAAAAGCTATTTAAAATGGCCATAGAAATAGTTGATTTTTCCATTCAACATGGTGATTTTCCATAGTTATGTTAGTTTACCAGAGGGTATATCTTGGTTTATCCCGTATACAGTTTATCCCCTATATATATATATCTATACATCCAGCATGGTTTCTGGGGTCTGTTTCATCTTCAAGATTTGGGTCAGGGGATGATGACCCAGCGCTGGAAGATATGTCCTTGGGGATCATAGCTGTTGAGCATGGCACAGGTCCCACAGGTCCTGACTTCTGATGGTGAACAGTTCAACATCAAGAAAACATGTTGCTTTTTTAAGCACCAACCATTTAAGGCTGAACATTTTTACCAGGACAGAGCCTGGCCAACGGAAATGGATTCTGGTGACCAGCGCGCCAGCGCCAGGACCCCCGACCCACTGCTGTGGCGCTAAGAAGGTCCACAAAATCATGTGACGTCCTGTGCCATGGGACGGCCATGGGGTGAAGCTGGTTACGATCCACACCATGGATCGATTCAGATCTTCGAAGATTGAAACAACCCCAAGTGGATATAGGTGCGCACACATGTATACCGCAAGATACATAAAATAGAATATATAATGTATATATATATGTATGCATATGCATTTATACACACATATGTGCATGCAAATATATATATATATATATACTGTATATACATATATATATATATACACGTACTTATATCATACACAGATAGATAGATATATATATATATATATATATACACATGTATATATATACTAGGGTCAAGTTACATGTTTATGTTCCCATAAGTTCGGGGAGAGTCGTGTCAATGATGGCATAACCCCCCCCAAAAAAAAACATCATAATCATATAGGATAACAATATAACATAGGGTTCATCACATCAAGCAATCAAACCATATCCCTTGAGGGTACCACTCCAATCTCACCCCATACCCTGGGATGATCAGATGGTCAAAATCGACACGTTTCTGAGTACCCACCAATAGGCATCACCTTAAAAGGGTCACCGACACGGGAATGACACGGAACAAGTGCCTACATTTTCCATTTGTGTAGGCGGTGCAAAAACAATTCAGATTCAGGGTCCGGTGGTTTCTAAGATTGGGATGTGTATGTTCCCAATCTCGGTATACCCTGGCAGATCTGGCAGGGAAATAGATGATATTGTGTCATCCTGGAGATTTCATAATCCCACCAATCAATGGGAATTTCAGGATCCTAAAATGGAGGTACTGTACCTCTAAGGCCATATTTTTTGGGGATATTCCCTTACATAGGCCTTATATAGGCCTTATATAGGCCTTATATATGGTAGGTACCTCCAATTTTGGTTCCTGAAATGGCCATTGATAATTGGTGACTACTTTTCCAGGCCACTAATGGTGGCTACTTAGAGGGTGGAAAAAAACCCTTGGCATCACCTCAGTGACTCGCTGTCCTTCGCGAATCTCCCGTGTATCCCGGAACCACGAAGCAGAACCCATCGGGAGATCATGGTCGTGCTTACGGCACACCTGAAAGACGTAGTAGACCTTGGCGATGGGGTTTTCCCATGGGAATCACTGATCATTTTCTATTAAAATCCATGGGAAATAGGATGAAACAGGTGTGAACATGGGGTATACCTAGATATACCTGGACCTGGTATACTGGTAATACATGGTAATACCTCATAAAAGTGGCGATTTCACGCGATGATGATGGTCACCTCGCAGGGCCTGTTTCCCACCGGGAAAAATTCACCCAGTCTGACACAGCAAAGGGACAACGGTTACAGTTCAACACATAGAAAACAACCAGCCATAATCTCATGGCTGAGATCTGATGATCTGGCAATCTTTCGATTGCAAAGTAACTGGTTGGTAGAGAAAACGTTCAAGGGGAAAAACACCTTGCCGGCACCCATGCAGCCTCCAACAAAGGCGGATACGAAACAAAAGGAGAAAACAGGGCCAGGTTCAGCGAACCTACCCACGAAAGGGTGGATGAGGACGACCCTCAAAAGTCATGTCCTTGATTGGAGGCTATCATTGACCTACTGATCTAAGAACCGAAAGTACATAAACATACGGATAACGAGGGGGGCCACCCCTCTACGCGACCAACCAGTAGAAACAAATCATCTGCACAATCTGTTGGAGTTTCCGTTGCCACCAGCTGTGACTACCAAAGGATGTTGCCCATGTATGCCCATGTCAGTGTCAAGGCAACGTCCCATCTTTTCCTTCAAACTCAGTTATGAAAATGGGCATTCATGATATTCATGTCATTCATCCACCAGCAAACATCATGAGACTCTGAAAATCACTGGTTGGTGGTATACCTACCCCCTCTGAAAAATCTGAATCAGTTGGGAATATTCTTACCAATGCATGGGGGAAAAAAAAAACATGTTCCAAACCACCAATCAGAAAATCACCATGTCACCATGCCTTTCAGAACCTTGGAAAGTAGCCCATCAAGGTGATCTCCAAGCAACGCCGCTGAAGAAGGAAATACAGGCTAACATCTCGGCCACCTACACTCAAAATTTGGGGCCATCTCTTGGAATGTCTCGTTTTTTTTTCAGAGGAACTTATGGTGGAACATGAATCCATTCTCATTGATATTCATGGTAATTGACATTAATTAACTATAGCTACTTGAACATGCTGCTTCATCAAGATCAGCACTGTTCACTTAATATCAACCCTGGATTAATAAACCCCTAGGTTCTCTAATTGGGAGGGTACCATTTATGTACCATATTGTGACTATTTTGGAGGGTACCCCCTAATTGATAAACCATGGTTTATTAATCCGGGGTTGACATTACTAGGTTGTGTGCATCCACTGCCAAACCTTTGGGAAACATGGAGACCTGACCCAACGTTCGAAGTTGGGCCAGCGCAACTACAGCATGCCGCCTAAAAGTAGACCCTTTTGATTAGCGAATCTTCTGTAAAAGAAAGGCGTGGAAACCACGCAATGAATCAACTGTGCGACTTACAGCAAAAAATAATCTCCCAAACCAATAATCTTTTGGGACTTCCATGTCTGCTTAAAAAGGGAAGGGAGTGGCCTTAATTGATCAACCAACGTTTATTTAATGGGGCGAGGTGTCTATAGATAAATCATAATGTTCAACATTGATCAAAATTATTACCCAAGTATTGTCAAAATCGCACATCTAGTCCCAATGTTTTTTTCTTTTTTTTGGCAGAAGTTTTCACCCTCTCGTCATCTCCCTAAGGCTTCATCTGCAGGCAGTTGGGATGACCGTCCCCTCTCATATCATGGGGGCCCAGGCTCTGCAATCAGGAACCCCACAATAACTTGGTTGGTTTGGGGCCTGGGGTACGTGCACTCCAGAATCTTATGGATGTTCTCACTTTACCTATAAAATCCTAGAAAATCATCGCGGCATCGCCCCAAATGAAGTAAATCCACCATGAAAAGAGACAAGCCGAAATGGGAAGTGTGCCTCTGTTCCAGCCCGTCCATCGCAGTTTTACAATTCCTGTTGGTTCACCACTCAGCCCCCATCATCTCATCCCTCGTCATTATATTCATAATTAGGGGCGGTTATGTATCCCCATGAGTTACAGCCTAGTTAGAAGTTAGCTGGTTTACCCCCATGAACTGTAGTCATATTTGCCATAAACAATGCAAATTCTGTACTTAGAATATGTTGGACTAATTAAAGAAATAAGTCAGCGTAGCTATCATTTGGTGGCACCACTATCCATTTCTCCAGATATATAATATATCCCCTTGATATTTCCATCAAATTCCACCATTTGCATGGTCAAATCATATCAAATACCATCGTTTTCACACGAAAACCAGATATTGTTCACCATGTTTCCATATTTTTCCGTAGGAAAACCCCAGCATTTCGATGCTTTTCCCCCAGGACCCGCGTCTTGCCGTTGAAACCCCGTGGGAACAATGGGCGCAGCCCCGCGGCCCGGCTCGCCGCGCCTCGCGCAAGCGAGACAAGAAGAGCACCTCGCCGCTGCCAGGGTCTTTGAAGTACAGCATCAAACCTCGGCCCGAAAACAACCAGATACAACAAGTGGAGATCTACCCCTTGATCATCTGATGGGGTCTAATGGGATTTTAATGGAATGGAATGGGATTAGAATCCACTTAATGGGATATACCCTCTGGTAAACATACAAAAAACGATGGACAGATCCACCATTTTTAATGGGTAAATCAACTTTTAATTGGTAAATCAACTATTTCGACTGGGCCATTTTCAATAGTTATGTTTGTTTACGACAGGGTATGTACAACACATATTTGACCTAGGACTAAACAAACTGATAGTGGATTCACGGTGGATTTTATATATCCATTATAGTCTATAAATTGGATTTACAGACCAGCTTATAACCAAATTCATGGCAATTGTATAGATCTATCTATAGGGTTTACAAAGCAACTTGTAACCCCTGGTGCCAAAGAAAATGCTGAGACTTTCACAGAAGTCAATGCCCTTCACTGGCGCAAGGAAAAACACATACCCTCCAGTAAATTAACATAGACCCTGCCAGATAGGGTTTGGAAGATTAGTGTTCATTAAAAATTGGCTATTTTCAGGGTCTATGTTTATTTACCAGAGGGTACCTTTAGGGCCTTAGGGTAAGGAAAAAAACACATTGCAAACCTCGGATGGATGCACCAAGTTTCCCGCCGACCCAGTGGTGGGACTTAACAAACATGGAAATCCACTGCCAGCCATGCGCGCTATGGCAGAAATCACTACAGTGCAATGTCAGATCTAAAGATGAAAATCAGTCATCCGGTTCAACTGGGGGCACACCGAATTTCATGAACCATCATAAACCACTACTATTGAAAGAAAGGAACTGTCAAAAAAGCCGGCTTTTTGAGCCATAGAAATAGGGATCGCACGTACCCACCAAAACCAGGTCTATGTAAAGGCTCATCTAAGGCAGTACCTGAATGGACCATTAATGCCGGCGGTGTGTTGCCTGTGGAGGACGTCGACTGGGATGAAAGAAACTGTTGTTTTTTACCCTCTGGTTATGTCAAAAAATATTGAAAATTGCCATTTATAGTGAGTTTTCCCATTAAAATTGTGATTTTCCATAGTTATGTTAGTTTACCAGAAGGTATGTCATGTTTTAAGCAGGGAAAATCAATCATTTTCTCCAGGAAGACCGGTTTTTTTCTGTCATGAAACATATTTCGTGGCTGTGCCAGACTCCCCCCCCACTATCCCCCACTCCCCAGCATGGCAGAAAGTAACTAGACCTTATTACAGCTGATAAAATTCCATGAGAATCCTTATTAGGCTTTAATAAACTCTATGTAAGAATGCCATTTATCCTGAACCAAATGTCAACATTCAAATCATGTCTGCGAGGTTCATCCCTGTGGTTTTGGGCGATTTTGCTGGGGAGGGGGGGGGACACTGGAGGGGAGGATCCTGGAACACCTGTGAATATTTCAACATTCACACACCCCGAGCAACACTGTGGAAGGGAATGGGCGTGGCGTATTGTGGCGTCCTCCCTTTCAAGGCTTGGCAAGGGTTGCAAGGGATGCTATTGACTGACCTGGATCGTTTTCTTTTTTGGGGGGTGGGGTGATATCAATCATTACACTTATACAATTAAGCAGCACGACTTCCTCGGATTTTCCGCCCATCATCCACAAAATAAGTGAGCCATATAGATGATCATAACTGAGCCGTGGATGATATACCATGTTCCAATGGTCGCTGATGAAGCACCTTGCGCAGTTTCAAGAAACACAGCGTAGACGAGCGGGATCTGATGGGTGCTTCAAATGTCTTCCCTATCTACCCCACACAAAAGCACTTCGGCTGCCCGACGCAACAGAAGAAGTAAAAGAAAACATAGGAGGAACCTGAGTTGGAACGGGCCAGGGGGATCCCGCAAATATAGCATAGATGATATACCATCAGGTATAAATTGGTATAAATAGTTTGGGCCCATGCCCCCATGTTAATTTCAAAAAAAATGACTGGACCCCCAGTAGACCAGTTCGTACTCGTCGGCCGCAAGATGGAATCCTTTCAGCAAATGGCGATACAACGGGTAATCATGGATATCTAATGGATAGTTGAGCAACAATAACGGGAACGAGAATCATGACAATTCATGAAACATGGCGGATGGCCTAGCCAAACTCCATCTCGAGAAGCAAAGAACAACTCCAACAAATCAACTGCAAAGGCAGGCAGCCATGAAGCCAACTGAACTATGTGTTCCCTTCTTTCGTTTATCGCAAGATACGATCTAAAACTCGCAAATTCAGCGGCAACAGGTTTTTTTCATTCTCAAGTTTGAGGCATATTTCATCTTCATATTTCATCATATTTCATATTTCATGACCTTCTTGCTAAATGCAACCTCCAAGATAACCTCTGGTAATTTAACATAGCGAACTGGACAATCCCCATTTCCACCCATTTCCACTACGGTAAATCCATAACATAAATGGGCCATTTTCCATGGCAAATTGTTAGCCCCTTTATACTTTATACCCTCTGGTTGTGACTAACATAGCCATGGTATAGATGGCCCATAGAAATAGATGCTTTACCTGGGTTTACCTATTAAAAATGGTGGATCTTTCCATGGCAAACTGTTAGTCATAACCAGATGGTTATTAGGGGCCGATCACCTGAATCCCCAGATCCCTGGCCGCGGAACTCCATCAGAAAGATGGTGGCAGCCTCGGCGGTGATGGATATTTCGGAGCCGTGGCAATGTGAAAAAACCACATGTGTTTATTTACATGATTTTACATACATGCGCATATATATATATATAGAATATATTTATATATATATATTTATATTTATATAAGTCAAACAGGGGGACGAACCAGGCACCCACAAAAAGGAGGAAACCCAATCCGGTAAACCCTGCATGAAACAATCAACAAGTACGGACGCTATTTTCCGCACTTGAGCCATGACATCGGGTACACACTAATTACACCCAGGTGGTTGTTAGGGTGGACCTAGTACTACCCTCTAATCTATGGCTACACTACATACTTAACGCTTCTAAGTATGAGGTGCTACTCTACATTAATGGGAATAGCTACTTTGAATTATAGTTGGACTCATAGCTATGGCAATGCTCTACATAAGACCTACTACCTATGCTGTACATAGTGGGGCTCAGGGGTCGGTGTATTTCAACTCCCCCCTCGCCTGTTCCACACGTACTGCGCATTGGCAGTGACCTAAGCAACTACTGTCGCGTGAACGGACGTTCACAGCGACCTATGCTTTGGCTTTAAGGTCTAAGGGAAGGTCAGTACGGATTCCTAAAAGGATTAGTGCTGCTGCCCATTTGTGTGGAGGCAATGCCTTGGTGAATATGTCTGCCGCCTGATCATCGGTGTGGGTGTACTCTATCTCGGCAGAGTCATCTCTGAAGATCTCAGACAGGCAAGACAAATTAACTTTGTGTGTTCTAGTTATATGGCGAAGCTTGGGACTATATCCTTTCTTCACAACTAGGATTGTTGCTTGATTATCTTCGTGGACCTTAAGGGTTACGGAGCGTGCAAGCAACAGCTCCCATAACTGTAAGGCAGGCAAGCCTTCTTGATAAAGCGAATGGGCTAAACTAACAACCTCGCTTTCCGTGGTCGATCTAGAAGTGGATGTTTGGCGCTTGCTAATCCATGCAAGTGGGAAGAAGGAACTAGGGCCAGTTAAAACCAAGAAGCCACCGGAGGTTGAGCGTGCAGTTGATCTGTCGCCGGCAAAGTCGGCATCGACGAACAGTCTGAGCTCTAGGTCTTCAGGCTTGTCCTGAATGGTACCTACTAACCTGTAGTGTGGTGTTGAGGCTATATACTGGATTAATCTTAGGACCTTCTTATCATCCCCCCTGGACCACGACTGGACCTTTGTGGCCAGATCATTGATAGGCTTGATGATATCGGGACGTGCAAGTCTACCTAACCAAAGGGCTTTCATCAAAATCTTACATGCATTTGGAGCTAGTTCCCCTTTAGTTTCATCATCTTCAATGGTGATGGATCCCTCAGGTGGAAATGGCGTGGCTGCATGCTTGAGTTTGGTGACACCAGTTATTGATTTATACAAATCTACGGTCTGCTGAGCGTAGTCTGCCATATCAAAAACCATACCATCTTGGGCTTGGAAGGCTGCACATTTTTCATGACCTTCGGTCTTGGAGAGTGGGGTAACAACATGGTTGCGTCCAAGAATCCTATAGATGGGCTCTGGGGGTTCAATGTCTACCACAGAAGTTAACTTGCTCCAGAATGCATCATGCTGGTCGGCGGGGCCAGCTAGAGTTAAATCGTCTACATAAGTTGACAGAAGTAACTTTGTATCTGGGAAGTAAAAGTTTCCTGGGTATTCTTGAACTTCCTGTCCACCAAGGTTCTTGATGATGACTTTCAGGTGTTGTTCCCACAGGCCTCCGGCATCAGGATGACCGTATAAGGCTTTAATTAAGAGGACTACGGGCTTAACAAACTGTTGTTTCCAATACTTAGGGCGGAGCTCCGGGGGAAGCTCAATCCAGGTTTTGTATTTGGAAGATAACAGTGCTTGGACGTAAGCTTTGACTGCATCTGCAGCCGTCGCGCGGTTACCCGGCAGCGACCCATACGCCAGGCAGGCGTTTAGCCCTTGGACGGAGGTGGGATTTGCGCCGAGTTCTTGGTAAACCGCGGCTGCACCATGTTCGTCCTTTGCGCAGTCTCCTCTGTACACAATGCGCCCCTTCATTTTGTGAAGGTGGTCTGCAAGCTCGTAGAATTTAATGGACGCGATGGTCATGAGTTGACCAAAGTGCACTGACACACCCGAAGCCTTAGCCTCCTTGCGTACATCTTCCTTCTCGCGGACCGAACCAAGATCCCAAGTACCAGCCTTAACCAAACCGTTGGCTTCGGCACGAATTGCCTCGAGGGCTTTGGGATTGGACAGCATCTCTGCACGGGATAAGAGCTTAGTGACCATTGCCTTGATCTCAGGCGTTGGCGCCTTTGGGTCTTCCAGGTGGAAGGCTTGGGCGATCAATTGTTCATGGTCAAGAAGTTCTGTAACCAACCTATTAGCGGTGGGGTCTGATTCAACAGCTATGGCTAAATCTTCAAAACCAGCTAATGGGGATACATGCTTAAGGTGCTGCTCAATTTCCCTATGGGGTTGAGGCTCGCCAGTTGCCGGTCGGCAAGGCATAGCAGGAACGGACTGCTGGGCACATTTTGAGGGATACAAAGCTTGCGCAATTAAACTAGTCATTTGGGGCGGATACATTGCGGAGCGAGTGGTCTCAGCTCCCTCACATCTGGAATGAGGTTGCTGGCATCGGCACCGCATATCTTGAAACGCCTCTACAATTCGGGGAGAAGTGGTCTTGAGTTTCCATGGCTTTTTGATGGGATAACCATTTCTGTCGGTTAAACCTACTGTACATCCTTCAAAACCAACGGTCATAAACTGGGGATACTTCTCAAAGAATGCTACAACGTCAGGCCTTTTCCAGCCAGAGCAAGGTCTTGGCCATTCAAACGTTACAGTACCACCATGATTGAGAACCCTTTCAGCGCGTTTGGAAAAACTCTTAAACAACCGTTTGGACTCTTTGACCTGGTGGGCAAGCTTCCTAATGAATGCGGCACCACCCCTCTTCCTATTGATGTACTGCCAAGGGGATCCGGATGTGCAAGGGATAGAGGCCCACATATGTGGAGGTGCAACCTTAGCGGCTTCATCTATCTGATAGTCTAGTTGCTCACATTGTGACTCATCTCCCAGGTCTATCCTATCCTTACAAAGTCTAACATGATTAATGCCATATTCTTGGTGAGTAAAACCCATCTGGGAGTCCTCAGAACAAGCAAATTCAAACATGGTTGACTTGGCATTGGGTCTGGAAGCTTTCTTGGCAGCTTTCCGGCTCCTACGATTATCGCGGTTAGTTGGCTTACCTACAGCGGGGCAACCAAAAACAGGCAGCGACTTTTGACATAGGTCGGAACATCGATTGGCAACTTGGGGAAGAATAGCTACACCAGAAACGGAAACAGCAGGCTCGGCTGGAGCACTGGGTTCGGATGACCCTGGTACCTCACCTCTTATGAAGATTTCCTCAACCAATGCTCTGTCCTCTACGGAGAGGTGAGATGGTATCGGATCGGGATCAGGCAGATCCTCACCGTGGAAGATGATGCCATGTGCTTCATCATCCCTGTCTTCTGCTTCTGTCTCACTTGTGGGTGGTGGAGCTTTCTTTTCTTTTTCGGCTTCTTTCTCTTTTTCAACCAACATTGCGAAGCGGGCTCTGCACTCATCAGTGTGCACGCGTGAATGGCCAGTGCAGCCTTTGCAACCAGGGGTCTCTTTCCACTTAAGGATACGGTCTACGGTTATATAAACAGAACGACTTTTGAGACCTGGTGTAGAGGGTGAAGCTATTCCGCCCTCCTTGGGGAAGGGCACATCCTTTAAGGCATATTCAGGCAACTTAAGATCATCTGGGTTATCCCCCCTGATGAGAGCTTGGTGGCGTGAAAAACCTACTGGAAAAACAGGGTCACCTTCAGGAACAAAGATTTCTGCTTCTGGAACATCAACGGCTGAATTCCCACCTCTAGTGCGATACTCTTGGTAATCTAACACCCTTAAGATATTTCTATATCGGAAACCGGGATCAATCCTCCAACCCAAAAACAGACCAGGTGACATGTTGGGCTCCAAAGTCCTTTTGGTGGGTGACTTCCTACGGTAATACACTAACTGACCAAAGCATAACCTCATGCCGTCAAACTTATTCCTAGTAAGCGACTCCCATTGGGTTTTGTCGGGGTCAGCTATTGAAGGCTTGTCGAATGACATTGAAAGGCAAGCGTATGGATAGCTATATGTGTGATACTCATAGGGAAGGCCAGATTGGAGGTGAATAGTGCGGCAACATTCTTTCTCCTCCCGAACATCTCTCTCGAGGATGGCATTGTGGGGCCATCTGTTCGGCAACGAGGTTTCCGGAACCATGCCTACGGCATGTGCCGCCTGCTCAAGCTCGCCTGCTTCGTCCATTTTGATGAACGTTCGGGTGGTGAGCTCTGATCCACGCAATCCTAAGAAATGCCTAAAGTTGCGAGCATGCGCGTCAGCAGTACGTTTAGACAATGGGTATGCAACACGCGCACCAGAGTACGCATCGCGGTTGACATGATGCGACCTTATTCCCCCTATACCTACACCCAAGTGTTCGGACCCTTTAGCTAAGATAACGTCATCAGTAGCAAGCTGTTCCAGCGGCTGCTTTGGGGGATCAACAAAATCATCGGCTTTGCCATCTTTGACATGTGAAACCCTCATGGCGGTATCTTTTGCTATGTGGCACAAAGGACAATAGGGATTTTTGGGAAAATGGGTGCGCAAATGTTCAGGGCTAGTGGCTTGCTGCTTTAGAACTTCATCCTTGGGCGGCTCACCATCGGCTAGCTCTACCAAAAGCTTATCATCCATTGGGTGTTTTGGCTCCGACGCGCTAGGGGGCCCAGCAGCGTCCTCAACAGGCTCGGGATCTAGAATTTCATCTAATTCTGAAGGACTAGGAAGGTCACTACCACCAAAGCTAGGGGCATAGCCAGGGTCATTAGGATCTTCTTCATCATCAGCGGGAGCATCAGTTTCCACAGGTGGAGCTGGCACGGCAGTTGAAACAGGAG